CAATTCTCAGTTTTTGCCCCACCCAAAAAAAAATTGAAGATCCGGGGCTGATAGACAGGCAGAGTTACTTTGAGAGACCCTTGTATGCCAGTGCCGGATTAAGCAAGCGCGGGGCCCGTAGCAAATTCTTGCAAAAAATTTTATGCTTTGCTCTTTATTCATTTAGTAATGATCTTACTATGTCAGGATTACGGAAAGGCTATGAAAAATTCAATTTGAGGAAATCTCTCTTAAAGTAATAAATTAAGTAAGTAACTTCTAAAGTAACTTCTAAGTAAAGTAACTTCTAAACTCAATATACTTAAATTAAATTATACTAAAAATAATGTTAATCTTGCAAATAAACATTTAATTTTAATACTTTACATCGAGCCATTTCAAATCTGCTATCACTAACGGCCGGTTTCTGAAAAACTGATAATCGTAGAAGTTAACTAATCAGCTGTCAGCTGCCAAAAGGATGGTTAAACTATCTGAATTGACACAGAATGACCTTCTTAATGGTCAGAATTGACAGCTGATTAGTTAACTTCTACGATGATCAGTCTTCAGAAATCGGTCGTAAGAATCGGGTAAGAGTGCTTGGATACGCCAGTGTCATCTTTTTGTACAGTTGCTTACACAAGCAAGTTTTTGTAGAACTTATGCGTTTACCGTATGAAATTTGGTGTTTTAGTTAAGCCAAAGAAATAGTCGGTCACCAATTATCTGACGTGGATTGCCTTAGTAGCAGATGTTGTAATGTTCCACATTTTTGTGACATCAAGTAAATTCCATATATCACTACATCTTAATAAGTTTCACTCAAAAAATGAGTCAGGCAGAGATGAATGGGTCTAAATATGCGGACCCCTTTTCGCGCGGGGTCCGTAGCAACTGCTACTCTTGCTACATGTTTTCTCCGGCACTACTTGTATTTTTATAAATTATAGCCTCTGTGTTATTCTGATGTACAAGCTATATTACTTTAAAGTTTCATTAAAATCCATTCAGTTGTTTTTTGCGTGAAAGAGTAACAAACATCCATACATCCATACATAGAAACTTTCGCGTTTATAACATAAGGATAAGGATAGTAAGGATTATTCGTTTATTTTCCAATCCATATGACCGTGATAGGCGTATATAGTGGGGAAGCAGGGTGGGCCGTGCCCACCCAAGTATCGTCTAGTGCCCACCCCAGGATTTTGGGTTACCGATACGAAATTCTAGGCTGGACACCTATCCTCCATCGCCAAAAGCAGATTGAAGCCGAGCTAGGCTCTGCTGAACTTTCTAATTACATTTAAAATCGTAGTATGTAAAACACCTACTACGAAAATTTTCCCGAGTTAAATCCATGTTCATAGTCCAAAGAGTTCCATTTTCAAATGTTGTAATTACTTTTTTAATATTGTTTATGTAATGTGCCAGTTCCGGAAACTTTTAGTTCGACCTATGTATAATTACCATGAAATGCAGATTCGAAAGTTCACCTGTGGCCCAGTCGATTGATGCGTTTTTAAAGATAGATTTCGAAAATGGGAAGGCTTTCATCTTGCAAAGACATTCTTCGAATAGATAGCACCCTTCTAGGATAAATCTTTTGCTGAATGCTTCATTATAAAAAACGTAATAAAAGAAAATAATATTAAATTTGAAGTTCTTAAGGAAAACACTGAAGAAGATTTATCCCCAAATCTTTTTAAATTAATTAAAAAAAGCTTTTTCTTTTCTTCATATAGGAAACTAGTGACCCGCCCCGGCTTCACACGGGTGCAATGTAGATATTGAATTTCTCTAATTTTCTCTACTATAATATGCATACTATATACTACATGTAAACCTTCCACTTAAATACTATCTATTGCTGAAAATCGCATTAAAATCCGTTGCGTTGTTTAACAGTTCTACAGTGTTCGATTTTTTTTTGTAGTCAGGTCTCAAGCCCACTCTGAAAAATAGCCCTTATAAGCCCTAGATACACCAATGAAGACTGTGAGGAATATCTACCTACTTGATCTAAAAATACCATTAATTAAATTTGTATACATCCAGAAATCCATTACGTACATACGAATATATATTTATTAAAAGGTTGAAACGAAAAGTCTTTATTTAACTCGCATCCTATACACTTGGAAAATATTTTATTCATTATATAATCACGTTTAACGGCCGTCGCGGACCGAAATCGTCAGGTAGAAAGTGAAAGTACTAACAAAGCAAATTCAGCAATTAATAAATAATTACCTACGAGTTTAATTTCATAATTTTTTTTATCATTTTTGAGCATTAAGAGATTTTTGTTTGCCGAGTTCAACTTTGAAAAAATTAACTTCCTTCCGGACTGAATATTATTGCTTGATATTTAGAACAATTACCCAATAACAATGATAAGCATTTAACTTCCTTTTATTCACACATTATTATATATAACTTTCTAGTTATATATAACTTCCTATTAGTCCACATTGGGAAACATGCAATAATGTTTTATAGACATTTATATTGGAAACATAATGTTTTATAGACATTTATGTCTAATAAATAAGTAAAATACTCATGGCATGAATAATGTAATGTAATTTAGTCATTCGAAAGCCGCTCATTACAAATTATGTGAATACCGGCGCCCATGGACATTTTCTACACCCGAGGGTTCCAGATGCATTGACAACCTTTTGAAAATTGGGCTCCGGCCACCTCACTCATCAGAGGAAACGCGAAAGTATTATACTTCCAGTTTACGCCGGTCTTCTGTGAGGTCGTGGTACTTACCCGGACGAGCCTGGCCATTCGTGCAACAACCGAGGCTGCTGCGTGGCTCTACCATCGTGAAACTGTCTGACTCGCACTTGGCCGGTTTTTTAAATCTCAAAACGCATACGTAATAACATTTTAAAAATGCTCTATCTTTATGGAGTGGCAAATCTAACAAAATGTTTAAATGAAAAATTAGTCAAATTAAAAGAAAAATCAAAAGGTGCTCTACCCCTTATCGGAATATAAGATTTTTTGGAAACTATGTCACTTAAATAAAGTGAATCAGGCGATCTCTTCCGCGAATGTACCGGCGCATCCTGATACGACGCCATCTTTCTCCGAGCTGTCGTCGCAACAGTTCAAGGGATCGTACTTAAAAAATAAAGGCTTTGTATTATGATATGGACCTTTCCCTATCATAATACAGAGCCTCCTTTGAGTCGTGTTATACAACAGGACGTCTACCCATTTATCATCCTAAAGGAATCTATATCTAAAAGTAATTCTACATCAAGAGTAATTATTGAAATAACAGCGGTAGTGAAGTATAAGAAATTGAAGGTCAAAGAAAAGACTTAGTAGACAAGAGCTTAACAATACTTTTGGCAACTCAAATAACATTAGAAAATCCTTTTGACAGCTGATTAGTTGACTTCTACGATGATCAGTGTTTCTAAAACCGGGCGTTAATGTATACATTAGGTACTAGTTGTAAGTACTCAGCACATATTATTGTTCTCCTTAAAATACTGCAAAGCGTGACGTCCACCTATTGTATCGCCGTTTCCATTACAAGCAGTTGCACATTAAGCTCAATTTCCGCAGATTGTCACATTCAAATACAATTTCTGCAAAGTGCCACAACATCACACAAAACTAGTGTGACATAAAAGATTTATACTTCTGCGTTTATTCTGGTGACGTAACTGGGGCCCACTTAATTAAAAGGTGGCAACACATCTGTAATTCTACGGTGTTGCAAATGTCCACGGCAGTGATTTTCAACTCTACGGTGTTGCAAATGTCCATTGGCAGTGATTTTCACATCTGGTGAACCACCAGCTTGCTTGCCATCTTACATAACAAAAAGAATCAATTCATTAGTTAGATATACCGACATCATTGATTGATGGCAGGGACCTAAGTATGTTTTGAATGTGCCCACGAAGCGTAACGCGTTTCTTTCTCATACACAATAAACCAGTTTGTCCATGAGGTCCTATATGGTATCACTTCCTGACCCGCACACTAGTACTGTGTGAAAAATTCTTTATATTTAAAATAATAAAAATAGGTTCTTACTTATGCCTATACACCAATCTACATGTTGCATGATATTGAAAGAAAAATAAACTTACCCAAATGCATTTCTTTGAGTCGCATATAAAACACGGTTTTTTTCGTATAGAGGGTACATACTTAAACTTAAAGAAACACTAAGAGTAACAAGCTCGTTTTGAAATTTTATTCATGTAAATTTGCAGATATAATTAATACAAATTATGGTCATGTAAACCGGGATCTATGTTAAATAATATATCTAGTAACTGGTTAAGAGGTCACCATCCATACTGCCTCAAATTCTGTCGACTCCAGACATTGATAAATTTTAATGACTCATTGATATATAAAAAGGCAGTCTCGGAAATGTGGCGTTAAAAATTACTGTCTTATTTCTAAGTTTACAATATGAGATTTTTATTGTGATAGTGATAAAACACAAACTTAAACTATGTGAACATACCTACTACCTGAGTGGCTAAAGTACACATGCATGACTTTATTAGGTTCCTCACATTCTAGATGGCTTTAGGTGCAGAGCTATATTATCTAATTTGTCCTAAAGGTTAATGTGACAAACCATCTATTGTCTATAAATGTCATCATACATCACAATTTTCACTAAAGCTATCTGTACAGTTCGGATAATTTAAGGTGTTTCATTTGATTGCCAATTTCTATAACCACCTAAATGATGTTTCTAACTTGAGCAGCGCGTGTATTATATACATTGCTACTATTAAAGAGGAAATCTATATAATGTTATTATTTATGAACATCATTTCAATGGCTGCACATAATTATTTATGGAATTAAGGATTGCTAATAAAACAATCTAGGTACAAATTAAACTATTCACAAACAAATCCATAAATAAACTTTGATTAAAACATAAAACATTCAAATACTTAGTATGTCGACACAACTGATTTCATGAATGCATAACCATTCATAACAGAGAGCAGTAACAATTATTCATCAGAATCTTTTTGTTCTGGTTGTGTTTTCTTCAACCAAGGGTGCTGAAGGCACTCATAGGCAGTGGCACGACGATTAGGATCAAAATCTAACATAGGCTTCAAGAAATCTGCAAACTCTTCTGCATCCTTTTGACTCCATTCATATTTATCAGTGAGGACAGATACCAGTCCCCATGGCTTTAACCCTGTTATGTTCCTCAGCTCACCTTTTTTATTAAAGAAAACTTTGGAATATTTACCAGATGCCGCAATCCTTTTGGGAATATCTCCGAGTAGTTCTATTATATGTGCAAGATGGTCTTCATCTCTACTATAACCATCACCAGAGTGGGGTTCAAACAGATAATCTCCAGTAGCTAGTTCAAATGCCATACAAGCTGTACTCCATATATCTGCTGATGTTCCATAGCCTGCACTTAAAAGAACTTCCAGAGATCGATATTGCCTAGTTTGTATATCTTCTGTAAAATGGCGATGGACCCAACAAGCATTACCTAGATCAGCAATTTTAACCTCTATGTCGCACACATCAAAAGTAGGATCTGGGTTTTTGTCAACCAATTTGCCTTTAGATTGTGAATTGAAAGAGGGTGGTGTGTCAGTCATTTCTCCTTCAGACATAGGTGTCCCAGCATCATCACCACAATTGTACTGTTTATTCCGTACTTGTACTGCATCAGCATCTGTGTCAAATGCCTCGTCATCAGCTCTTTGTAAATCAGAGCAACCATTCAAAGTTGTCTCATTTTCTGAACGTGTTGTTTCAATAACACTTGCTTCTTCTGGTGTTTGTGGTGAATCATCATTATCCTGAGACATAGGAGCAGATTCACTGTTATTTTCAAGTTTCTTTTGTTCTTCCATTTCCTCAATTTGTTCCATTTGTTTCTTAAGTAACATTGATTGGCGTTTTGCTTTTTTCTTTAATTTCTTTTTTTTATTCCTACTCATTTTTGCAGTTACTACTGGCTCTTGAAATTCTTTAGGGGCCGTACTTATCAGGGAATGAGGAAGCCTCAGACCAAGGGAATGTAGTTCTGTTGCTTCTGCTGCTAACTTACGAATATATGCTTCATCAACACAAACCAACACATTTTCAGGTTTAATATCAGTGTGAATAATCTTACATTTGGTATGCAAATAGTCCAAGCCTTCCAACACCTGTCTTATAATAGTTTTAACGTTTTCACGTGGAATACCTCTATAGTTTGATTTGAGTATCAACTTTAGGAGGTGGTGGCCTAGAACCTCAAAAACCATGCAAACATGGGTACCATTTACACCCGTAATTTTAAAATCATTAAGCAATTGAACCGTCTTATTTCTTTTAGGATCTGAAGGGTCACTATCGCGAACAGCTTTAAGAATTTTTATTTCGTCTAGAGCAGTTTCGGTAAAGTGAGGTGCTGATTTCACGACTTTGAGAGCTACAAAGCGCTTGTCAACAAGATCCCAACACAACCACACCGTAGAAAAATGACCCCATCCTAATTTCCTGGTGACGTGGTAGCGGTTCAGGAATAGATCTCCTATCTTGACAGGATGGTATCCACCCTTACAGTAGTCGGCACTGTCTTCTTGTTCCTCGTCATCACTAGCGTATTGTTCATCTTCGTCCTCCTCGATGGTCTCATTTGAGGAACTATGCGTTGGTTCTAGACGATTTTGATTTTGATTGCGCAGCCCATTTCCTTGCCCTCCAGCGCCGTGGTCCTCTTCACGATTTTTCTTCTTACCAAGTTTATGCCGCTTTTTTTTCGCCTGAATGGCGAGTACCCTTCTGTTGACGTCTGATTTAGAACTCATTTAGTAAATTAAAACACTTTCAACACCTTTTAAGATATAAAAATTTATCTTTTCATCTCAACCTTTTTGTTTGAGTATGGCGGCCGGTTGCAGACAGAACAAAATGCGCTCGAACATGAACCTGTCGTGTTGCCATTTTAGATAAAGACCAATATCATCAAAGACGATGTCAAAATAAAAGCTTTTTATGTTAAATTTAAAATACGAATAAAAAATAAATTGAAACATAATGGGTTTAATAGAAACGTTTAAATGCATTTAATGAGTTTAACAATGTTAAAACATTTAAAATATTATCAATTAAAGCCTTAAGATAAAAAATAAATTGAAACATAATGGGTTTAATAGAAACGTTTAAATGCATTTAATGAGTTTAACAATGTTAAAACATTTGAAATATTATCAATTAAAGCCGCTGTTATGTAAATGCTTTCAAACATTGAGAGCCCTTTGAGAACAGAAGTTCCTTGTGAATAAGTAGTTTCCACAACTCTAAATCCTTCCTTAGCGACATCCGTACTAAGATAGAGATGCACTATACGCTGAAGTCACAGCCTTAAATGCAACCGATTGCAAAAAAAAACCCTAACTATTATCTTTATATATATAATTAAATAAATAACTTATTATTAAAGCTAGCGGTGGAGAGGTTAAGAATTATGTGATATAATTAATTTCGGAATAAATTGTGAACGATATATACGGTACATTCGTTTCTCTAGTCTCATTTTTAGATTAATAATAACACATTATCCCGTTACAATCTACACTATAGGCTCTAGGCAAATAGTTCGAAAAGTGGGATTTGATTTCAATCCAGAGAAGTGTAAGTGGGTCGTGTGTAGTTGTCATTCGGACAACCACCACCGAAAAGAACCCACATGAGCTGTCTGGGGCGTATGTCTGTCCCGAAAAGGCTGCTCAGAGTGGCCTTGGCCCATTAAGCTCATCTCAGATGCGCGCCTCCCTGTCCTGTGCAACGGAAGTAAATTCACAGGAGAAAGTAAGGCAACTTTATGTTCCAGCCTTTTCGCTTTGCGTCGAGTACATGATTTAAAGCTAAATTGACAAACAATTGGCATCCTCTTTTTAACTGACTGCAAAAGGAGGAGGTTCTCAATTCGACTGTTTTTTTATGTTTGTTAGCACAGAACTTTCGACTGAATGAACAGATTTTGACGATTCTTTTTTTTTTATCTGAATGCTGGTGCTTCCCATGTGGTCACATATAACTTCACTGTTATTGGATCTTGGGCTCCGGAGATAATTCGGGAACTTCTAGAAATCAATTATAAAAAGAATACGAAGCGAAATATTTGAAGTCGGTTTTGTTTTTCGTTAATAAAAATTGTCTTGTTTTGTTATTACTTTAATTACACTATAATTTTTATACCATTCGAACTTAACGTGTGAATGTGTGCTGTCACTCTGTTTGGAAAGAGAAAAAGCTTCGACCGCTGATTTAGTATTCGTATAGCATATAGATATTATCTATAGTATATTATTAACGAAAAACAATTTATTAACGTATTTAATCATTTATTCTCACTTTTGTTAACATTCAGTCGTTTCTGATCATCAGTATTTTTATTTTTTGTTATTGATTTGCTTTTAATAGGTAACAAAACTAAACCTCCTAAGGTCAAAAACATTCCTGCCACATAAAAGGCTGGAGAATAACCATATTCTTTTTGTATGACACTTGCTACAGGTGTACTCATTAGACTTCCCAATCCATGAAATAATAAGACCATACCTGTAGCATTTGTTAATTCCTCCAAACCATAGAGTGAAACTAATACCATACTTCTTAAACTAGCGATACTCGCAACAGAAAATCCAAAAACTGAACAGTAAAAATATTGGTAATATAAATTAAATGACAAATCAGATGCGATTGTGCTTAAACCTGCCAAAATACATGTACCGGCGTATATCGATAAAGGATCTAATTTACAAGCCAATATTCCTAACACAATCCTTCCAATTGCATTAGAAAATCCAATAGCGCTTACAAATAAAGTACAATGGTATGGATCAACACCAGCATCTAAGTTCCGACTTTGAATAAAAACATAAGGCACCAAGAAACCCACATAAATGAAAAATGCAGCTAAACACAATAACATAAATGATCTTTGTTTTAACAACTTTGGATCCATCATAGTTGCCAAAACTCTTCTTGCAGCTGTGGTAAAAACACCTCGTCGTTCTTGCATGTCGGTTATAGTAGCGGCTCTCGAAACAGCTAATTGATATTCTAAACCAGTTTTCGTTTCTGTTGCGGTGTCCATCATACTTTTTTGATATACTGGTAGTTTTTCTAATCTTCCATCATAAAATGCATCATCTCTATACATGGGGCGTGACTCAGGTACGTGCTCTTCCCAATGAAATAGACGTTTCCAAAACTTTTTTTTATTTGGCTTTTCTTCAACAACTGAAGCATCTGCATTTCCTGGTGACTGATCTTTAATGTTACTTTTCGATATCATATCCTTTATTTGTTTCAGTTGCTGTCGGCTTATTCCATTCTGTGGACCATGGCACACTAAAGCAAGTTTTGACACCGGTGCTGTAGATGGCCCCGGTTGGGTTGAAGGAGATACGGAACCCTCTTCAACTATCGCTGCCGCAGTAGGAAAATTATAATTTGAAACCGCACTAAAAAGACGTTCTGTAGTTGTAGGTAATAAATTATCGGGTTTAGAACTTGAAGCAGTTAGTCGAAGTGCTGCGGCAGATAAATTTGGTAAATAGGTAACAGTACGAGTTGGATCATCCATTGTCTTAACGACGGTTAAAGAAAGTAATGGCCGATATGTCATACCAATGAAATAAATTAAACCAAAGAGACCGGAATGAAATAATATTGTGTTTCGCCAGCCTGATAAATTTGTGATATATGTATTTACAGGAAACATTATCGTAACTCCCATGCTGGATCCAAAGGTAGAAATAGCCATTGCAATCGGCCGAAGTTTCTCAAAATAGAATCCTACTATTAAAGATGATGACAGATTTATCATGCAATAACCAAAACCAGCTATAGCACCATAGAAAATACACAGCGTCGTATAATCTGTAGTAAAGTATGAAGCAAAAAGTGAAAAAGCGCAAATAACTGACCCCAACATAACACACGCTCGAAATCCAAACCGATTGATATAAGCGGATACGAACGGACCTGCTATGAAATACAGTGCAACTGCTATCGAATTCATCAAAGCAATTAAAGATTCCGGCTCATTAAGATCCTTACTCATATCTTTAAGTATACTGCCAAATGTAAACGTTGACCCATCAAGTATAAAAATATTTATCCAAGTCGCAGCTACGACTACCCATCCCCAACCACCTTCTTGTGGAACAGATATTTGTGCTGTTATTTCTGTCTCTTCTCCGCCAGCTAAGTTGTCTGGTCTACTAACAACTCTACTTGGTGTGACTAGTATACTCTTTTTGTTTTCTGTTTTGACTGATACTGGTTTAGGCATCATATATTGTAAAATTCTTCCTCACCAATAGTAAAAGTAATATTTAAGGAAACATCTTAACCATATTTTTGTAATCACTTATCTTTTATTTCATATAATTTGACTTTTAATTATCCACATATGATTTAAAGGTGACGTTACTTTTCGTATTTCTCTTGCCACCATAATAATACTCCATGACTGTAAATATGTCACGTTCTAGAGTAATAAACAAGAAACACAGAACATATTATTTACTTGATTGAACAAATAAGTTTTATGCATTTTTCTTCCGTCTTGAAAATATTTTTTTTTTTTTCAGTTAATTCTACATTGATTAAATCACCGAAAAATATTTGTGGTTGTTTCATATTCCGTAGTGTCATTAATATCTTTCATCTTACCGAATGTTCTCTTTCTCTAAATTTATCTGTCTCTTTTGTGTCTTGTTCTCGATCTTCCACATTGATGTCTGACAACCAGGCATTATAATAGGATTTATGGTCAGGACGACATGTGTAACAGCGCGTGCGTCCCCAATCGCGTCAGAACTCATATTGCCTTCAGTTAGTGATACTTTCGCTTAACTGTGGTCGTCGGGTTACGCTCACATGGTACTTCCACGTGAAAAGCTGCCAAGCGAGCAGACGGTTCACCTGATGTTAAGTGAATACCGCCGCCCATGGACATCTGCTACACCCGAGGGTTGCAGATGCGTTGACAACCTATTGAAAATTGGGCTGCGACCACCTCACTCACCAGACGAAACGCGAAAGTATTATACTTCCACTTTACGCCAGTCTTCTGTGAGGTTGTGGTACTTATCCGGGCGAGCCTGTCCATTCGTGCAACAGCCGAGGCTGCTGCATGGCCCTACCACCGGTTTAGTTTAAATAGTAACGCATTAACAGTTAACGCCAATAGCAGCTAAGATACATTGATGAAAATACGACAGCGGTTCCGGTACTAGGGACTGTCAATCAAAACCACTTCCACTGTTTTCTCTATTCCGTGATTAATTCAATACATGGCCTGATTTAATTCAATATTTCGCCTTTTAATATATTTCAATTTTTCAATGTAAAGAAAAAATACGAGTAAGAAATCTAAAATTCTAGAATTTTATAACGGGTTTAATTACATATTCAATTACTTTAAAAAATTTTTAAATGTTCCTTTATTCTTCATTAAATGCTTTCTCCGACTACTATAGAACAGTCACATCAGAGAGCATGAACTTAATAGTGCTGCGTCTGTATTTCGTGTAGAGATGTATCATTTATGAGGCACGAACCCTATTTAATGTTTTCTGTCAAACTCGGAATTGTCATTGACTGTTTTATTTGGGTGGTACGGGGTGCCCACTCTTATGCCCAGAAGTTGCTATACAACGCCATAGTGACCAATCATTTGAACTATCATCATCATCATCATCTGAGACTTTACAGCCACGGGTGGGCCTTAGCCTGGTCAAGAAAATCTATCAGTCCGATCTATTCAGGGCTTCTTTCTCCAGCTTATAAC